GGGTTTTACTTTTGTTTCACCTACAGGAATAACTTCCACAGTCTGAGATGAAAAGGCTGAAGATGTTAAATTCGTAATTACGTAGACTTGCTCTGTTTAATTATTTTGTTTGAGATTATTTAAAGGTATATAACTATTTGCAGGGAAAAAAAAGTGTTTATACTTTTTCGTCATGTAGAACCTTTCTGTGTATTTCACTGCAAAACAGTAGTTTCTTAGAAACCTAAGGGTGTGGTACTCTCAGTATGCTGCCATTTACTTGGTTTCAGTTTACAAATATGCACGACAAACTGAAGATGAAGTTCTACTCAAATTGCTGCTATAATTTCTTTGCCTTTTTTTTTTTGGTCATTTTCCCCTACATGGATAAATTTAACATTCACACAAAAACTGCATTGTGTTGCCCTTGAGATTATTGGTCAAATCTAGGTCGGAGGTAATATGGTATTAAAATGTTAGCTAGTTCAGTTTGCTTAAAATAGCTACTTTTCCAAAAGGCTGAGAGCAGAAGGAAGTTGCTTCCACTTATTTTTTTACCATTCTGTTAGAATATATTCTATATATAGAATATAGAATCAGAGAATATAAGAGAGATGAGCCAATGAAGCCTTGTTTCTGTATTGAAGCTTCCTTGAAGAAAGAACTAACTTTTATTTAATTTATTCAATTTTACAAAAAAAAAAAATAATAGCCTTTTCTTTTTCTGATACAGGACTATAGAAAAAATACAGGTTGTGGATCCTCAGGAGCATAATTTTAAGCTCACAACATAAAAATGAGTAACTTCTTTTTTGAAGTGGGAGCTACAGAGTGTTAACCAGTCTCTGAGGTGAATGAGTTGACTAAGTCAGGAGGAACTGATAACCCACAATAAGTGGGAAGGAGGTCATGGTGCTAAGTCTTGTGAAGGGAGTTAGAACTCAGGTAGAGTGTTCTGACATTCAAAGAAAATGAGAAACAGACACTGTGAAACATAGCATAGACCTTGGAACTTTTCAACCTGGAACACTGAGGTCATCTCACATCTTTGTGCTATAGAGGCAGTGAGGACTTGAAATCAGATTTGCCGTGGCTTCTGTGTAAGTGTTCATTAGTTCACTGAGTTTCATGTCAAAGCTGTTTAAAATTATATTCTGATGCACTGGGAGATAGAGCCAGCTTTTCTCTTTTTCTATTTATTTTTTTTCCCCTCCATTATTTCTTATTTATTGATTGTAATTTGGTTTTAATGAAAAATGTGTTTTGCATTACAAGCAATTTTTTCTCTTGAATTTTTTCCGTACAGTCAGTAGAGTTCCCATATATAATGAGGCATTTTATTTCATGATTTTCTGTGGAAGTGGCCTCAAATCAGCTGTTGTTGCAGCAAAAGTGGAAGTGGTGAAGACTGCATCCATGTCTCCTGAGTCATAACATGGTACCTTCAACTTATCTCTCTAGCCTTCTCCCCATTGTGCCTCCAGTGCAATACCCTGGATCTGTCATCACAAGACCTCACCCCAGTTTCAATCCTGGTCTTCTGCACAACAATTATCACTATTTCAAGCACTTGCAGAGCCTTCCCCCCATTCACAATTCCACAATTTGCTGTCACCCCATTTTCTTCACCTGTTCTTTAAATTTTCCTTTTTTTCTCCACTCCTTATCTTCTCTATGTCAAAACAAAGCCCAGGCTGTTGCCCCTCTGGAGCTACAGGTGTAGGGGTACCCTGGCCTGCCAGCAAACAAGAAGGGATTCAACCAGTCAATCATTCTGCTGTTTTGCAGTATATTGGTGCTTAGACAGACAAGATTTTACATAGGGTGGCTTTTGAGTTCATCAAGGAATTGTGTGGCATATGTGTGTTCTTGGTTTCGCTTCAAAAAGAGATCTGTGTTTTCACCAAGGTTGTGTTAGGTCTGTGCGTTGATTTTTCCTAAGGTTTTAAATAGTTACCAAAAAACTAGCAGAAGTATCTGATGCCACCACTGTGAAAAGTAGAATACAGGATGATGTTGTTCCCATTATATGTGGTAGAAATAGTTGGCAGTGCTTTGCTTTGTCTACAGCTAGAAACACCAGGAAGTTCTTTGCTGAAATATTTCTTTGATGCAATATCTGAGGGGTGACACCAGTTAGCACTGGCTAAGTGTTCTCTGTGTGTTGGGTATGCTCTGTGTTACAGTCTCACCCAGACAGGAAAGGACTGATTTGCTTTGCTTCCAGCAACCATTGAGGATGATGAATAATGGGAACGAGCTGGCTGAAATTAATTATGATAAAAATGAAAATATTATGTTGTAAGGGAAACAGCTGAAAGACTTGGCATTGGTTAGGTAAAGAGCCCTTCACTGTGAACATTCAGTTGCTATGATTCAGCTGAGTTCTTGTTTTGGAAGCAAGTTTTAAGTTCTCAAGTGTTTGGGCTGTTAAAATTAGACAGTGTGCATAATTAGACAGTAAGCATTATTACTATGTTTATTATTCTTTTGGATCTCACAAAAATTTGCTTCCCTTTCAGATACACATTTGCAATTTCAATCAATTCTCTAATTTCCTCTATATTGAACTGTCCCCACATACCTCACGGAAGATATTTATGTAGGATATCTCCTCATTAAACAAATTCTCTCCCCTAGAGTGTATAATGCTGGTGTCTGCCTATGTAAAAATTAAAGGTTGGGATTTTTTCTCTCCTGGCACATGGCAGGTCTCAAAACCATGTCATGGCTGATGTCAGTACTCTCACTGTCAACGTGTGATGGTCTTAGATGTGATACAGAGCAATCCTTGGGCACTCCTGAATGATAAGCTGTGCCTGCAGTCCCTGCCAGTGTGGCCATTACGAGTAGCAGAGCCACACTGCAGAGCTTTTCCACCCTCCCCCAGCATCTCCACTGAAACACTTGACAGGACAATGCTGTTTTAGAAAGCAGGTCTGTGATCTCAATGTCATCCTTCAGAGCTACAGTAAAACTAAAAGCTGTGGCCTTTTATATGCATAGGGTATAAAGAAATGTCAAGAGAGTTTGGGGCATTTCTAGCATTCTTCTGACTTCCTGTCATTTTAACCTATTCTGTCTTCCAAATCTTAGCAATAATGAATAAAATTGTTCCATGAGAGCTGCTGTGAAGGTTTACAAAAGTGTATATTTAATATCCCTTTCTTCTGTTTGCATAGTTTCTTCCTGCATTTCCTGAAAGGTTGTCCTTGCTTTTTTCTTTTTACCTTGTGATTGTTTTGACTTATTTTATACCCTATGTGTGCAGTATTAAGTGATGGCATGAAACATGAACTATTAAAACTTGGTAGGAATACCACCCTAATACTGATTTGAGGAAAAGAAGTAAAAATTATTAATATAAAAAAATCATAACCACCAATAGTGAGGTGTCTTCCTAGCTTTCATTAGATGAATAAAAAACTAACAAGCTCTTTAACTAAGGAGGTTATTTCATTAATTTCAGCAGGTAACGAGTCAGTCTCAAAATGACAAATTGGTAACACTGAGAAGTGTATATTTCTGAACAAAAAGTAATCTCTAATGGTGATATCTTAATTCTGTTAATGGTGCTTCAAAAATAACATTTTGCTAAAGTGATGTGAGTGAAATGGAAAATATATCTCATGTATATGTTTCAGTTTCTTGACATTTCTTTTGATTTGTTTGTTGTCATACACTGTTGTTTAAATTGTTATGAAGATTATCTTTACAGTAATGTAGGCATTTGTATCTTAATTTATTTTTAAATGAAAAATTACATTCCATAGAAACCAATATGGCCACAGCAATATGATCAAACTTAGTATTTCTATGCTCATGTCACTTAGTCTTATCTGAGTTTAAGTGAAATCTTAATGACTAAAGTCACTTGAAATCCAACTCTTGTAAAATACATTGCTGCATATACTGCAATTGTGCATCAGGTGACAGTTCTGTTACAAATTTTTTGACAAGTCCTTCATACTATGATTCAAGTATTCTGCATGACGAGGTTGACGAGGACAGTTTGAAGTTTCCTGCTAGTATGTGCATAGCATGTATCATAGAATCATAGAATGCCTGGTTGGAAGGGACCTCAGGGATCATCTGGTCCAACCTTTCTAGGTACTACTACAGTTTATATGAGATGGCTCAGCACCCTGTCAAGCTGAGACTTAACTGTCCAATGTGGGGGGGAATCTGCCACTTCCCCTGGGAGACTATTCCAACTGTCCTGATGGAGAAAAATTTACGTCTTGTGTCCAATTGGGATCTCCTCAGTAGCAACTTGTGCCCATTGCCCCCTGTCTTTTCCATGTGACTCCTTCTAAATAGAGAGTCTCCATCTTCTTGGCAGCCACCCTTTAAGTACTGGAACATTTAATAAGGTCTTCACAAAGCCTTCTCTTCTCAAGGCTGAGCAAACCCAGCTTTTCAGCCTCTCCTCATATGGAAGGTCCTCCAGTCCTCTGATCATCCTTGTAGCCCTTCTCTGGACCCTCATGTTTCTACTACTTTAAAATCTTCTGTAAATTATGACGAAAAAGTTACTAACAATGTAAGATGGTAATTTCTAAATGTATTTAAGACGGTAACAAGATTTAATTATTTTTATGTTAATTTTCATGCTTACTAATATCCAGATCAGGTAATGGAACCCTGGAACCACAGCTCCAGTCATCTCTACCCATATAATGGATGGATATAGAAAATTTGGAGTTGTAGTAGTATATGGTCTGTGAATCAGGTTTTGTGACTTTCAGTTATAGAGTGGGCATAATTCTGTTGTGAGTTTTTTTTTCTACTTAAAAATTTGTGAAAACTCTGAGGTTTTCACCTAGAAAGAAGTAAATTTATAAAACCATAATGTTTGTTTTTAAAATAACAATTAAAAAAACAAACCACAAAATCCCAACACTTTATTCTGTCAGTTTTCTTTAAAATTGATCTTAGATTTAATCTCAAATGCTGTAGGTTGCAAACATATATAACTTGATAGTGATCATCTTCATTTTTAAAACTTGAATATTTTGCAGATAAAAAGCTTTGGTGGGCAGACCAGAACTCAGCTCAGATTGGTACCTGTAACAAAAAAGATGGAAGAAACCCCACTGTCCTGCGAAACAAAACCTCAGGAGTTGTACATATGAAAGTGTATGATAAAGCAGCTCAGAAAGGTATGTTACATTTCAGGCTTGTTTAACCGACTTTGAGACTGCATAATACCTTTTCCCAGGTTATTCTCCAAACTTTGCTAAAACAAAATATGTACTTCATTGTAATTCAATGATAGAATACTGTAAACTATTTCATTATTGCATGAATCATTGAATATAATGGGATAATTGATTGAGAACATCAGCCTGATAGATTTTAATTAATGACATTTTCAGAAGTTTCCATTATAGTGAAGTTCAAAGTTTTTTCAGAGTATCTCAGTTCAAGATTTTTAGTTAAAAAAAAAAATCAGTGTGTGAGCCTCATTTCAAATTACTGCAATTTTAAGTAAGTGAAGTATTATGAGAGAATTTATTAATAATCTTAATTATATGTTTGTCTTTAGACGGTTTAATCTAAAATGACTGAAGTGACAGTAATATAACTCAAAAGGGAAACAGCAGAAAAATGGGGAAATATTGCTGATAAAGATTAGTTGGCAAAGTTGGAGCAGAGATAATATGAAAAAGTATTATTTGGGATCATGCACACAGTTTTATGAGTTTGGAGGTCAAAGATTGATACCTTTGGGAGATTCCTTAGAAACAGGTTACTTCTGATTCCAGCTGCTTCCAAAGTATTGATGGTTGCACTGAAAGTGGTGAGGACAAGATCTACATGAAACAAATCAATTCCTTTTGCAGAGCACATTCCAAAAGAGCACAGAATGGAGCTAGGCTGTCTGAAGTCCAATAAGTACTCCATGTGTGGAGTACATTCCTCCAGTTCCATATTGAGTACTTCTGGGAATACTTGCCATTTTACTAATCTGGCAAACATCTCATGAGTATCCAAATGTTAGCGATATCTGAGCATGAACATATGTCTTCCACTGTACAAAGATCAAGGAAACTAACACTTCTGTCTTTCTGTACCTCTGAACTTTTACTGGAATTGAGAATCCAGAAGTTCTGTAGTGAAATCTTACCTTGGTGTATTTTTGCAGACTGATGTCAGGGTTTTGGAAATAAGAATCCAACACTGTAGATGGGATTCAGCTTTACATTTGCATGGCTTTTTATTTTTATTTTTTTTTAAATAATCTTTGGATGTCCCATATACATCTTGCATTTCATTTAAGTGAGGTAAGAGCAAATGTGATGTGAGAGCACTTGCAAATTTCTCTGTATATAGATACAGAGAAACTGGTAATCAACTAATGCCTTGAATGTCTTAGTAGACTTGAATTTCTTCATGAAGCTTCCAATTTCTGAGATGTTTATTGTACTGTGTATAATGTTTGTTATAAATCTTATTAAAAAGTATTGAACTATTAACTAAAAGTAAATATTGTTTGAAGGAAGAAGTAGGAGCATGAATCTGAGAGATTCCATGGGAGTTTCTCCTAAATATACTAAACAACTTGTGGTTTACAAATATGTGATGTTAATATAACATTTAGTGAATGAGATCAATGACATGCTCATGGTCTAGAATAAGATACACCCTCTAGACTAATGTCAGTGAGATTTCAGCATTGCTGCTTACAAACTGAATGTAGTGTGTTCAGTTTTATCATATGCTTTTACCTTAAAATGTGCAGATTCTTCTTCAGAAAACTGACTTATTTAAAAAAAAAATATTCTAAGGAATAAACTAGTCTAAGCATGCAGATAAAATATTGCAAGAGTGAAGTATGGACAATTGTATTAGTAGCATAGGCTGAAATACATTATGCATACCTCAATTTTTCAAAGAAGTCAGCTGGATGAAATTTGGGGTTTGGTAATAATAATTGGTGCCAACACAAGTTTTTTGTCAGGATTGCACTGTTGGAATTTTCTTTCCTCTTGTCTCTTCCCCCATCATGTTCTATAGGTAGCAATTCTTGTCAGTTAAACAACGGTGGGTGCTCCCAGCTTTGTTTACCAACATCAGAAACCACCAGGACTTGTGTGTGTACAGTAGGCTACAACCTGCAAAAAAATCGCATGGCCTGCAAAGGTAAAGTGGCTATAAGATTTATTTTACTGAACTTCAGTTTTATGGGAACACTGTACTGACTAAATTAACTTTTTTTGTTAGATCTGACTTCAATAATCACACTGCATATACTTGATTAAAGCGGCAACAGAGAAATGTCTGTTGTGGTTAGGACTGAATTTCAATTTACCTTGTAATTTACTTAGTTCTGCATAGCTTCTTGTGGAAACTGAAGAATATATTTTAGGTTTTCTTTAAATGTGGACAGAAAAGCAGACCATTTGAGCCATCATTAATAGCAGTACATATTTGTTCAAGTTCATAGACCTTAACTTTAAACTAAATTATAGGCTACAGTATCTGGAAGGTTTGGTATCTCGTGGTGTTGCACTTAATGTGAGGTAAGGCCTGATTTTTAAAGTTATTTATTCTACAATTATAAGTCTTTTTTCTGCTTGAGCAGGAAAAAATCAAAGCCTAACTTACATCCAAAGACTTACTTTTTGCCTGAATAATACAAAACAGCCTTATGGTCGAGGTGCTTTATAACTGTATAAATTTAATAGTATTTATTCCTATGAGTGATTGCTGTCTTATCTAGTTAAAACTAGAGTATACATGGAAGCAGAATTAAGAAGTATAAACATGACTTTTCTACTTCTTCAGTGCTTTTCATGTGTGAAAATAATGTACTCATTTTTGCTTTTACAATTACTTTGTTAGATATTTATAACATTTAGTAGTGGGTTAAGGTTAAACTGGTAGATGTTGTGTATTTGAAATTCATTTCTCCTGGATGCCTAGATATGCTGCTAGATCATACCAACTTTTTATTACTAAGTTCCCCTTTAATTATAAAAAAGATCATGAGTTAAAACCATTTTTATTCTGTCTTGAATATTAATGGGAAAATATGTTAAGAACTATTCTGTACCTATATACTTGTGATTCCCTTCTCTTTATAAGGATGCATTTATCATTTAACTAGAAGAACACCACCATAATTCATGGATGTTTTTTCAAAGGTGTGGAGTTACTATTCTGGAAAACCATGGAGCAGTATTGGAAAACTATATCTAGAGCTTGTTAATTCTTGAAGTCTTGTTAATAGGAAAGCCTCAGCTTTCTTCTCATAGCCATTATTATTGTTTGTTTTTTACTGTAGGTATTGAATCATTTCTTATGTATTCTGTTCATGAAGGAATTAGAGGAATTCCTCTTGATCCAAATGATAAAATGGATGCTTTAATGCCTATATCTGGAACTTCATTTGCTGTCGGCATAGATTTCCATGCAGGTAATTCTTATGCATAGTTTACTGTATGTGTGGTAAATATTGTTTACTATTCTTGTAAATGATATAAAATCTCAGGTTTCAAACCCTCTCAATAGTTACGAATATGTTTGAAGCAATTGTAAGTTAATTGTGTATTACAGTGTTAAACTAGCTATTTATTATTTATAGTAAATAGAAAAATGTGTTCTGTATTTGTAGATTGCACTAAGCAACACTATCCACTGTTTTTCAGTGGAGACATTACTAGGAACTTAAGTAGGAAACTGATGATTTTAGAGAAATTGGTCATAAATGTGCAGGAAAGCAGGTTTCATTAGTCCTTTTGTCCCAGGAAAAAATGCTTGTTCCTGTTATGACATTTCTTCCACTGAATTTTCATAGTCCTGTGTATTGTACTTAGCAGATGGTTTTGACAGCTGAGTTGGGATCATTTTGTTTCTGCCCTGTAAAGGTTTGCCTCTTCCCTGCACCACACAAGCCAACTCCATGTCTGTTTCTGCCTTTTAGAAGTAGATGCTTAAAAAGTCTGAAAAATAGGCATTCATCCCTGAAATACTTACCTTTCTACTGCAGTATATCAGTAGAAAACAGGTTTTGGTTTAGGGAGCTTTGCAAATTTCCTATGAAATTAGGAGGTGTCCGTATTGTATACATGTGGAAGATGGTGGGAAGAATTCTAAAAAATAAAAATTCAGGTTCTAAGAAGTAGTTGTGTAAATCTCTGCCTGATTCTATTAGGTGTCTGAATATTTTAAAATTCATCATTAGTTTGTAGACAATAAGAAATCTTCCAGGGGTGGGACTTCCACAACATTGCTGGGCTACATGTTCCCATGTCTCACACTAAAGAATTTCCTCCTCATGTCTAACCTAAATCTCCCCTCTTCCTTTTTGGATCTATTACCCCTTGTCCTCTCACTACAAGCCTTCTGCCCTTGCAGAAAGTCCCTCCCCAGCTTTTCTGTAGCCCCTTCAGGTACTGGAAGGCTGCTATAAGATCTCCCTGGAGCCTTCTCCAGGCTGAACAGCCCCAACTCTCTCAGCCTGTCTCCATAGGAGAGGTGCTCCAGCCTTTACTGATCTTTGTAGCCTTCCTGTGGACCCTCTCCAGCCTCTCCATGCCACCCAATTGGTCAGGCATGATTTGCCCTTAGTGAAGCCATGTTGGTTGTCATCAATCACTTCTTTATTCTCCATATGCCTTAGCAGAATTTCCAGGAGAATCTGGATCATTTCCAGGTAGCAATTATCTTCTCTTCACATTCCAGCAATAGAATAGATGAATTTATACTGAAGGCTCCAAATGGAGTATAGGCCTTTTTCCACCTGTCTGAAGCCAGAGCTGACTTCATGAAGCAGACGCTGAAGGGAGTTCTCACCTCTCGATCTGTTATTTTTCAGAGTAATTGGGAAAATAAAACAGGTTTGTGCAATTACCATGAGGAATTAAATATTATAGTTTTGTTACCACTATTTTGTTTGCTCTGCGACATATCCATAAAGTTATAATTGGCAATTTTAAACTTACTGGTGTAAATACCTAGACTGAAGTAACTTAATTCAAGAATCATGGCCATGTATCTTACAGGAAATGATACAATCTACTGGACAGACATGGGTTTCAACAAAATTAGCAGATCTAAAAGAGACCAGACATGGAAAGAAGACATTGTTACAAATGGTTTGGGAAGAGTTGAAGGCATTGCAGTGGACTGGATAGCAGGTAGGTCTTAACCTGCATCAGGAATTGTCATGATTTCTGACAGTACCCTCACGCATCTTCAGCTCAGAACTGAATCACTTGGTTTGCTTTCAGCTCTATTTCCTCGTACTCCAAATGTCTAGATATTTTTCTCTGTAGATACCACTGGTTTTTTCCAGTTTTACTACAGACAGAAAAATTATTTAAATATCTATAAATATATATATCATTATAGTACATGAAAATATTATGTATGTATATGACATAAATTATATAATGTAAAATGTATATAGTATGTAATATATAATGTACAGTATATATTATGTAATATATGGTATACATAATATATTTTGTTTATATATTATATGTTTAAATATCTGCAAAAGGCCGTTTCAAGGCTGTTTCAGTGCGGTCACCGAGGCGGAGGGATCGCAGCTGGTCACATCACAGGACTCTTTCCTGAGGCGGCCAACCTGCAGCAACCGCAACAAGCGCAGTGAGAGAGGGAGGGAGCTTCACACAGGCAGTGGAAGTGGGGACAGGTATCCTGGAAGGAGTATAGGGACATTGCCCTGTTGTGCAGGGACGAGGTCAGGAAGGCCAGGGTGTAGCTGGAGCTGAACTTGGCAAGGGATGTAAAGAAAAGCGAGAAGGGCTTCTATGGTATGTAAACCAGAAAAGGAAGATTAAAGAAAGTGTGCCTCCCCTGAAGAGCAACAGTGGTGAACTGGTAACAACAGACAAGGAGAAGGATGGGATCTCAAAAACTTTTTTGCCTCAGTCTTCACTGGCAGCCCCTCTCCTTGTGGCTCTCAAGCTGATGGCCCCCAGGATGGAGACCAGGGAGACAAAGTCCCTCCCACCGTGAGCAAAGACAAGGTTCATGACCATCTGAGGAACCTGAAAATACACAAGTCCATGGGACCTAATGAGATGCATCCCAGAGTCCTGAAGGAATTGGCTGATTTAGTTGCCAAGCCACTCTCCATGGTGGATCTCTGGAACAGGTTGCCTAGAGAGGTGGTGGGGATGCTATCCGTGGAGACATTCAAGGTCAGGCTTGAGTGGGCTCTGAGCAATCTGGTCTAGTTGGAGATTTCCCTGCTTAATGTCGGGGGTTGGACCAGATGACCTTTAGAGGTCCCTTCCAGCCCAAGACATTCTATGTTTCTGTGATCTTGGATCTTCTTATATGGACAGTCTCAGTGGTGACAACCGTGAAGAAAAGCATATACTTCAAAACAGAAGGCTTAACAGGGTTAGAAATGACAAATACAAGACACACATTGGTTAAAATACATCAGTTAGTTTCTAGTATTAACTAGAACTGAAGACTTAAATACTTTTCAGGTAGTCTTTTCTTTTTACAGTAACTTCAGTTTTTTTTTCCTAGGTAACATATATTGGACAGACCATGGCTTCAACTTAATTGAAGTGGCCAGGCTCAACGGCTCCTTCCGATATGTAATTATATCCCAGGGTTTGGACCAGCCAAGATCTATTGCAGTTCACCCAGAAAAAGGGTAACATGACTTACATTTCTTCTGAAGTTTGCATGCTAACACTGAGGCTCTTAAATAAGTAAATAGAGGCCTTTATTCTAATAAGCATTTAATAAAGCCCAGAAGGATTGTGTTGGAAACTATAACTGCTGTACTATAACTAAGCACTGGTGGAAGTGTTACTCTTACCATATGCTGAGTTTTTTCATTGATCTCTGTATACATGACTTACTATACTTTTTGTGCAAAAGTTTTCATTTTCTAAGACATTAGACATTTCTAAGACATCTAAGACATTCTAAGACATTTTAGACATTGCTTGGAAGCATGCTTAAATCTGTCCTTAAGTTTTCAGCAAATCCAAATGAAAACCTTGATGTCATGATGAAACCATAGAACAGTATAAGCCTCAGTAGTTATAAATCCTTGTGTCCTGTAACATCCCATGACAACACCCAAGGAGATTGCCCAGGGTAGCTGAAAATTATGTGAGATGAAGTGTGTGGATAAGGGTTGTTGAAAATAACATCTGTGTTCATCCAGCTGCTTGTTGAGAGTAGGGACCACACTGCAGCCTTTACAGATCAAGAGAATGTTCTGTCCCCTTCCAGCTCTGAAGCTATTGTTAGCACAGCTGCAACTAAAACAGAAGCAGTAAATTCTGCAAAAAAATTTCATCTTTTTTTTTCATGGGAATATGAAATGTACTTTCAGAGGAAAAGGCATATAAACAAGACTCACTGGATTTAACTGCTGCACTTACCTGCTATAATCAAAGCAATAAATGGTGTGTATCAAAATCTTGAAGTCTTTGAGCAACTACCTGCCCCCCAAAGCCAGAGATGACAGTGTAGCTCATTTTCCCAAGATGCAATTAAATCAGTATCTTGGTATTTTCAGGAAAGCAGTCTCTGTACTCAGAGGAGTTTGCAGCCACAGTAATGAATAATTTTGCCTTCTCACTGAGGCCACAGTGATACAAGTGAATCTCAGAACGGTTAAGGTTGGAAAGGACCTTAAAAGATCAGCAGGTTCCAGCCTCCCTGCTATGAGCAGGGACACCTCCCACTAGACCAGGCTGACCTTGAACACCTTCCGAGAGGAGGCATCCACAGCTCCCCTGGGGAACCTGTTCCAGTTCCTTACTACCCTTGTGGTGAAGAATTTCTTCCTAATATCTAACTTAAATCTACTCTCTTTCAGTTTAAAACTATTACCCTGTCATTTGGATCTTTGCCATTATTTCTTCTATGAAAATTTAGACAAAGCCTTGTGTATTTTGCAGACCAGGGCATTGCAACTTAATGCATTTAAGAATGAAGGTGAAAGCAATAACTGGTTTTATTTTATGCATAATGTAATGGCTTTTTCCACAAGTCATTACAGCTCTATTCATGTAGCACCACTGGTTACTTGGCAGTATCTGCTAACGGTTAATAATGTGGTTCTTCAGAGTAGGATCCTCTCCAGATCCTAGTTGGGATCTGGCTGAATTAATTATTAGATTTTTGTCTTTAATGTACCAGAATAGCTGTGCTTCTCTGTTAGGAAAAAAGTTAAAAAACAAAAAGCTTTTGAAGCTTAGTACACAGAAGCCTGATAAAATTATTTTGACTGGAAGGGTAGACCAAATTTCTTCCATTATAGTTAATTGACAGGGTAATTTTCCTCAACACATATATAATGTATTTTTCTATACACACAAACAGACTTTCATCAAAGGAGAGGAGAAGACCCCATGAAGTCTATGAGTCTATGAAGTGCAGCAGATGCAGTTTCTCTCTAGAATCATTAGGTATTATAACAGTAGGAATTATATGTATAAAATACATTATTTCAACTAGAAATTATAAAAAGTATAGTCAACAGCTCTGCAGTATTTGGAGAGGCAAGATGGATTGTAGCTGAGATCCAGCATTTAACAATTGCTGTAGGGCAAAGTAAATGCAGAACCCTTGGCAGAACAATATTTAATACTGTTATGGATAGAAAGGTTGCCTTTTTAATGAAGTTCAGATTTTTTTTTGTTCTAAAGACAATATTTTTACATGGTGCTTTCTGACTCAACAGTTCATGGTTTTATTTTATGAAAATGGTAAGTGTGCACTTAAGCAGCTGAAATAATAGCCAACAATATTAACAAGATTCTTTGGAAAGCAACAGTTCCTGCTTTTAAGTTAATGGATATTTAGGGGTGCCACTGAACCATCTTCTTAGGTCATAAATTAGCATAGTCTAATGCCACCAGAAAGCAGATATTAATAAAATATGGTTAAAATATGATTTGGAGGTCTTTGAATTATTGCACTTGAAACAAACAAACAAAAGATATACTACATGTAGACATTTATTCAGTTGTGAGACATTCCATAAGTAATTTAATTCTGTTGAGTTTTTTCAGCTAGCTTTTGGATGTGTTTAGAATGCTTAAGAAAACACAGGAGGGTGAGGGGCCCACAGATTAGTCATTGTTTTACATGTCTGGTAGAATGGTGCATCTTCTGTGAAGATAGGTAAGCTTCATCTCTCTTTTATTAACACTGTACCACAAAATGGTATCTTGAGATGTCTCCAATCAAAGGTCCTTCATGAGAAGGATAGCAATGTTTAGCTACTGAGGTACAATTAATACCTTTCTGTGGGAAGATTAAGACCTTTTTATGCTATGTTATTGTCATATCTCATTCCCTTTAAGAAGGAAAACTTTCACAAGTATTCTTCCCTCTTTTTGCCCTGACTTCACATTGTTCATCTCTCCTCAAGCTGGGGTTGACAGCTAGAAGAATGGTTGGGAAAACAGAAGTTATTGGATCTCATTGAATCTGCCAGTTATACCAAGATAAGAAGCAGCCAGCATTCAGCTGTTTGGTGTCCTGGTTTAAGCCAGGATTAAATAAATTTTCATTTTACTTATTTCTTTGTTTGTTTGTTTGTTTTTGTGTCCTTTAGAGAAGTTTCTTTTAACTGGCAGCAAATCAAACTGTGACAGTTGGTAACAATATTTATTACTACTAAGGAAAAAGTTAAGAATGTATAGTTCTACAAAGAGGAATCACAGAGTCATAGAATGGTTTGGTTTGGAAGGGACCTTAAAGATCATCTAGATTCAACTCCCCATGCATGGGCAAGGACACCTCCCACTAGATCAGGTTGCTCAGAGCCCCATCCCAACCTGCTCTTGAGCACTCAGTACCTGAAAACAAGTTCAGTTCTGTTTAGAGGTGCTGTTAGTAATCTGGTTAAAGTTGTAGTAAAACTTAAACAGTGACTGTTGATATCCAGCAGGTTAATACTGTCTTTTAATATTTCTAAAATGTATCTTTAACTTAGCTAATGTAGCAGTTCAATTTCCTAATGTAGTATAAGTTTTATAATTCATTTTCATATTATTTTTTTAATGTCAAGAAGTATGAGAATAAATTATTTTTTATTATAGCCAGAAAGCTCTATAGGTAGAGCCAAAGTAAGCTGGACTTTGTTTTGGAAGCTAAATTTGATGAGCTAATTATAGGTTTCATATTTGTCCTCCTCTGTCCCATTTTTATTCCACATATCTACAGTCATCCAGTCAAATATAGCTATTTAATAACAGATCAGTATATTGGTATCATGAGACTCAGACTCACAGGTAGAACTGGTTAGTAAGGCACAAGAGACTTCTGTAATCTTTAATAATAGATTAATACATATATTCCTGACAGAGAAAAACAATACAGAATGGGTTTGTATCTTCCAATTCACCTTGTGTACAGCACATTACTAAGTAATGCTTTAGTGTGTTCCTATCAATATTTGCAATGAAAATACTTCTGGTAATTAGTGATATCCTAGACTTTAATTACATTATCTCAGAAGGAGATTTCTTGCTCAGACTATATATGCATCTGTGTGTGTGTGTACTTATAATATATTTTAACATTAATATATATGTGTGTGTATATATATATTTGTAGACACATAGAAATTTATTTAAAGCTATTCCATAGGCTACTCTCCAATGAAGGGAAGTGTTCTCTGTAGATTGTATAGATTCACTGGACTCATTTTGTTGTGCCCAAAACAACAAAGAAGTAGTAGGTCAAGGCCAAAATTCAACCTAGCATCTTACCCTAAAGTAGTGATGTTACTAAGTATACAGCAATATCAAATTAGCTAAGATGCAGATTCTTCTGATGTGCATTCAGGAGAACAGGAAAAATATTTTCTTCCCAAATAAAATTCCATTGCTCTATTTCCCACAGTGCTCCTCACTGCTTTATATTGAAGACATTTTTAAGTTAGACATGCAACTCTTCTATTACCACATCATTTTTTAGTAATTAGATGTGAGAGCTTCAGTTCTAGTAATTTTTTCTCTAATTTGCTTTTATTTTCCCAAGCGCCAAGCTGAATTCTTTAAGGACTAGGATTGCATATTGACTGATCAATTACAGTTTTAACAATTACTTCATATATATGATTTGCAAAAAATCTCTCAACAAAGAGTTGCGTGAAGCAAGTATTATGATACACTTGATCTCTTCAGTTTATTTGGAGACATAAAAGCCTTATGTTTTTTAAATACTTAACGGTAACGGCGCATTTTGTTTGCAGTTGAAGTACAGTATTACAGATTCTCGACTCATTTTGATGGTATTTTAATTGCTATTTTTTTTTAATGTTTTAGGTATTTATTTTGGACAGAGTGGGGACAGACCCCTTGCATAGGCAAGGCACACTTAGATGGGTCTCAGAAGGTTGTCCTTGTCAGCCTGGGGATTGCGTGGCCTAATGGGATTTCCATCGACTATGAGGTTAGTTCCACTGTCTCCCAGTTTATGTTAAAACTTACAGCATTTGTTATGTTTCATGAAAACCAGCTGGTCTTCCACTTTGATGTCATCTTAATAATTTTTAATCAAATACTTGGACAAGACTGTTGATATTTCCTTTAAAATTAATCTTTAGGAAAATAAATTATATTGGTGTGATGCTCGTACCGACAAGATAGAAAGAATTGACCTTGAGACTGGAGGGAATCGGGAGATTGTGCTGTCAGGGAGCAATGTGGATATGTTTTCAGTCGTGGTGTTTGGAGCTTACATCTACTGGTCTGACAGGTACTTTATTTTTCATCAGTATTTGAGTCTCAGAATGTTATTTCAGTGCCAGGTGCTTCACCTCTGTAGGATTAGCCATTCCTTAGCAAGGTCACAGAATGGATCACAGAAAGCTATGTGGTTTCCAAAGAAAGGGCATTTCTGATACTGAGAGCTAAAGCATATCAGTGTCATAGATGAGAAGAGGTTTCTTCACCTTCTGTTAGGCAAACTCTCACCTGCCCTGCAGTCATTTGTTTGGTGTGAATTAGTTGAGGATTGTTGATGAGACATCTTCAACTTTTTTGGCAGAGCACATGCAAATGGCTCTATTAGAAGAGGCCACAAGAATGAGGCCACGGATGCTGTGACCATGAGGACTGGCCTTGGAATAAACCTGAAGGAAGTGAAAGTCTTTAATAGAGCACGAGAGAAAGGTTGGCTGTTCTTAAGGATGCTATTAATTGTTTTAATATCACCTATTTTTATGTATAATAAAGCATACCAAAAGTTAAGTAATCACTGATTTTATCTCCAGTTTTCACTTTCAAAGTATTTTTTAAGCTAAAATTGATGTACTTAAGAAAACAAATTCTACTAAAATTATTCTGGATGTTTTAAGAAGAAAATCCAAAACTAAAACACTTCCTATAAATCCAGGTTTGGGTTTTGTTTGTTGTTTTTTTCTTTTTTTTCTTTTTTTTTTTTTAAGAGAAGGAATAGTTTTAGGGATGAGAGGAACCTTGACTTAACATAATCTTAGGCAGTCTCAGATTTATATTGGAAAGCAGAAAATAATATTAATTTTTTTTAGTTAGAAATTCCCAGCCTCTATCTCTCAAATATTTATTTCCTGAAATTACTTGGGTTTGAGTCCTAGTTTTATTTTTTGGGAAGAGACCTTGTAAATAATTTTCCTTTATATAAATTCAAGAGACAAAAGTTACCATAAACTCCCAGTGATTTATAGCATCGATGGCTACATTTTATTCTCCACTACCTGGCTAAGAATAAGCTGTCTTTTTCCTCCTAAATTTCTGGTTTTGAAGAAACCTTAAAAAACTTGTTTTGGTGAGCAAATGTGGTTAGAAGTATAGAAAAATTGTTATGATTTCCTTAGAACCAGCTGCTACCAGGCAATCCAGACAACATTTTCTATAACTGTATTAAAAAAGAGAGGAAAAAAGAAATATTGTTCTCATACAATATAAGTTTTTTTTAATACAAATATGTATCTGGTGTTGGTAAAGCTCAAAAGTTCCTTTAATCACGAGTTACATACCCAAAGATCCTGAGTTTTTATATGCATCTTTCCTAAATAACCACATTAAGTATGACTTGCAAAGAAACTTGCGGTTTGAAAGAAAACAATTTTAACAACCAATAAGAAAAACTGTATTTTCTTCCTTTTTTTAAAAGAAAATGCTAAATAGTTTTGAAAAACATTACTGCAAACATTGCGGATGAATTTTACTCAATTTCTGCATGTAATTTCAGAGTAGTGTGGGCCTCATCTTTTGTGGGTAAAAGGAAAATCCACACAAAAATCTATTGCTCCTTTTAACTAGGCTAGAAATAGTTAATGTCTGCTTGCTTGGAAGGGCTTTATATTATAGAATTAGGAAAACAGAACTAGATGAAAAGGCTTCTTTTAGTGTAATGGTTTATTTATAGCTTTAAAGAGTTGATTGCCTGAGCAATATGAGAAGTGGTTACTGAGGCTAGAAATCTTTGGATGTTAGTTTGAAGAACATAACTGAATGAATTTTTAATACATTTTTCAAATTTTACTAGGGTACAAATGGTTAATGTCTTTGGGAGGGGCTGTCAGTGAGCCAGGAGGACAAAAGGGAAAAAAACAGGTGAAAAATGTTTTTGGAATGTTTTTCTATATCACACTATATATATATATTTTTAAGTTCATTGAACTAGTAGTTAACACTGTTTTTAAAGAACATGTAATTAGCTAGCTTCCTGACCTACTATTATTAAAACAAACAAACAAAACCCCAAACAAACAAAAACAACCACCAGTGCTGATTGTGATCAAGGCTTTTTTTTCAAACACCTGTTTTACCCTTTCTGATGAGTCAGTCCTGCAGTGCTAATCACAAGCAGATTACTTTCTTTTAGTGCTATGTTACATGTGTACTAGACTGGGTTTAGAACTGGCCCTTTTCAAAGATCCCTTCAGCTGGTGAACTGTGGAAGCTTTGGAGTTTTCTAAGAGATGTTAGAAGCTTGAGTGTCTCTTTCATGTATTTTCCTTTCTCAACCTTGCATCCTTCCAAACAGATATTAACTTTTCTAGCCTAATGAAACTTGACAAGAATCTTTAAAACAAACCAAATATTAAAATGTGTACAGCTAAATCTTCTGATGTTTTTACATAACTATAGAGGAATATGTCTCATGTAATTTTGCCTAGAAACACAAAATTCAGCTTTGTCTCATCCCCCATTGTTTGTTGTGGTTTTTTTACAAGTATCTTCAGCTTGAAATATAGCAGTTAGAAAATACAATTAACAGTGCTTTCAGATACTACATATTCCCCGACAATTATGGCTTTCTACCTGAAAACAGTCTATTTATAAAGTTTACTTCTTTCAAAATGTGGAAAATTTTCAGAAATGGGAAAATGGCTGTGTTGAAAGAGCTGTTATATGGAAAAGGCTGTCAGAAACAGAAACTAAATTATCTAAACTAGCTATCATAGTAACTCATGCCTAGCCCAAGAAAGACAAAGGAAAATAGGTCCTAATTATTGACAATTATTGTAATTTTGAATATGGCTTGCAACAAGTGTAGTTTAAATCATTGAAGTTACTAATTTGACTATGATTTCTTAATGGTTTGTATCTACCAGGGAGTAAGTTTTGAAAGTCAGGTTTAATGTAGATTAGAACAATATGTTAGGTAATGTCTTCATTAAAAAAAAGGAACTGAATTGATGCAGCTTTGTACCTGTCAATATGTATGTCTTCATTTTTATAGAAATTGTCTAAAAACAGTGCTGCATTCTAATGGTATCTAAATTTGATTTTTTTTGCCAGTAACAGGTGTTTAAAAAAAAATAAATTAAAAAGAATGTTTCAAAGCACTTGAAACAGTTCCTAAGTCTTCAGCTGATTATGGAAGAATAACTTATTTTATAATGTTCTATTAATAAAATACATACTCCTGTGAATTGGAAAGGACATTTATTATGTTTCCTCACTGTGTTCATTAAAATAGCCTTTAGGTTGTGGTTAAAGTTACGTTATTTACAATTTTGGTCTTTGTTTAACTTGTGGTCATTGTGGAAGCAGTTTTAAGACAAGAAGTCTTAGAATACAAAAATAAAAAATAATTTTAAAAAAAAGGTTTGATTTAAGTTGGCTAACTGTAATATTATAAAAGATAGATTTTTTTTTTCTTTTGTTTTGTTTGGTTTTTTTGTTTGTTCAGGTACTAATGTTTGTGCCAAGAATAATGGTGGATGTCATCAGCTTTGCCTTTATCGGGGAAATGGCCAGAGAACATGTGCTTGTGCTCATGGCTATCTTGCAGAAGATGGAATTACTTGCCTGAGACATGAAGGTTACCTATTGTATTCAGGAAGAACAATATTAAAAAGTATACACCTTTCAGATGAAACCAACTTAAATTCACCAGTTAGACCATATGAAAATCCAGAGTACTTCAGAAACGTGATAGCTCTTGCTTTTGACTACAGCCTGAAAGGAAGAGGCACGAACCGCATCTTCTTCAGCGATGCACACTTTGGTAATATACAAGTTATTAAAGACAACTGGGCTGGAAGAAAAGTGCTAATTGAAAGTAAGTAAAAACATTCTTTCCCAAAATACATATTATACTTCAATAAACTTTGTTAAGTTAAAAGTTAATAATCACTCGACTTTATAGAGTTTAAAATGTTGATAAAGTTTTACCATGCTTAAGTATGTAACACAGTTATTGTCATTTATCCCTATAATACACATTTAAACATTATTTTTAGGATTACAGTTTCAGAATAATTTATTTTATAACAGTCTTATGGTGCATGAAGCATATTACTAGAAAATAGAAATGATGATGACACTGCTTCATTTGTATTACTGTGATTTTAAGGAGCTTTACCACTGAAACAAAACATTGTAGTGCAATGCCTGGAAATGAAAGAAGTTCCTTTACCCCACAAATGTATTGGTTATTTATTTTTCTGATTAATGGGGGTGAAAGACTATAAGATACCTCTACTGCCATAACCAGTTCCTCACAATAACATATTAGGACACTGGTCAGTGTGTCCAGTTGATTCACCCTTCTTGTAGTGAGCCCAAGGAAAGTGTCTTGTGCTCAGTGATAATTGGAAGCAAATTCCAACCTACAAAATTATCTGGTTTTACTAGATGCTTACTCAGTAGGTCTGCATGTTTACTGTGCTTTCATTCACCACACTTGTAGTTGTGTGAAACTTAACATGTTTTTAGCCTCTGAAGACTTGATGCCTGATAGAAGCTGATGCCAATATCATCCCCAAAATCTTCAGGACAAGACAAAACATATTTTGCCGCTGAGGCCTTAGTAAAGTCCTCTGGGGATCTGGCAGTGAAATCTTTATGAACGAAGTCTAACATAACTTTAATGCAAGGTTACCATGTTTTCTTGTGGTAAAATAGAATTTGAGGAAAATCTGAATGCAGATGTGGAAGAAATATATCCTTAAACCTAAACACTCAAAAATCTTTGCTTCAAAATTCTAAGTACTAAAAACTTCTGCTGTCTTTCATTTCTGTTCCAAATTAATAGTTCTCAAATATGCAATAAACCTTATTAATCTGCAGTCAGTTATCAGATGCATATATTTACTGTCTCTTCTCTTGGGATTTTTGAATACTGCCTGGTTGTTTTGGAGACTGCAGCTCATTTTGGCAACTGTTTTCTAAAATGTCTGAATTGTTTTATAGTTTTTACTCCTTCTGTTTTGGATAATTCCCCTCTGAATTTCTGCTGTCATATCTTATGTTGCCTGTGGCATTGTTACATTTAGCTGTTGGTTTAGGTCAAACAGTTTAATAACAACACCAAAGGAAGTGATTAGGAAAAATGGAAGTACATTTGATAGAGAATGTATTGCTCTTTGCTGTTGAATATTAATGGAAATATTTTTAGGAAAGAAAGACATTAAACAGCTGGTAACTATTGAAATTTTATTCTCCAGCTGACATTGGGTAATTGTATCATTATGTACCTCTGCACTGTGGTTTTGGGAAGATATGCATGGCCATGCAAACTGTTGACACTAATGAATGGAAAAGCATTTTTCAAATCTGATACAAGGCGGGTTTTTTGTTTGTTTTTATTTTGAGTCTTGTTCTATGCATATTTTATATGAATTAATGATACCTGTATTAAGACATGGTGAAGAGAAACTAAACAGTGTTGTTAGGATGTTCTCATTTCTCCCAGGAAAGCATGTTGAGCTTAGTCATACAAGAGGCACAAACAGCCCACTGAAATGTGCAATGGTGACATACAAACAGTGTTTTAACCCTGGTGCTATAAGATTACAAGTATTATAGTAATAGACACTGGAAAATTTTATATTTAAAACAGAGAAAGAGAAGCACCAATGCAAGTACAAATTGTTTTGTTTTTTTTTTAAAGAACAGTGAAGCATTCCTCATTCCTTCCTTACAGGGTGCGCGAGAGGTAAAGACTTTCCAGAAAGCATAATTAAGAATTAAAGTTTTAAGGAATTGTTAGGCAAGAGTTTCTACGTGTAATCTTATCATGTCCCTTTTCATTTTTCATTAGCAGAGTTAGCACTCTGAATAATTTAATGTCAGGTTAAATTTTGTGTCTTTGCAAAAAATGTCCTGTATAAGCTTGGGATGTACTTGTGAAAGGTGCTTCAGCTGATTTTTCATTGTAAATGAGAAGGGATATATCACATCCCAGTATAACTTGGCTTATTATTCTCCTTTATGTGCTTTAAACCCCTTTTCTTTATGCTGAGTCATTCCTTTTGAGCTGGTATTTTTGTACAACATTTTGTTCCACAGTCTGCACATGATTTTCTCTCGCTGTAAACAGGAAACAGTTGCTGAGGCTGCTTGATATAGTGGAAGTATTTGACCAACAGTGATACCTGTAAAGAAAAAAGCAGTGGTAAGATGTGTTGACACCAGTGATTCCATTCACTGGAAAATGGAGAATTTTCTTATTTCCATAGTAACTATATCTGATTACACAGAAATTATTAAATGGAATCTAGATGAGAGATTTTAGTAATAATGCTTCATTGCAGGATTAAAAATAGCATCTTTTACATTCCTTTTGCTATATTTTTCCTATAAAATTATTTGCAAACATCTGTAGCAAGTTTTACTTTAGTAGGAAGATGTGCAAAACCACACTGGAAATATCTAGTGTGGTTCTATCAATTCTATAACTTCTTTCTACTTCATTAAGTTGAGGTCTACAAATAATGCAAACCTTTACTCAGGATTTGCCTCAAATAGAGAAAATAGAGTACATTTTCCGCAAAATGATATTGTCCTGGATTCTTAGCTCACAGGATGTAGATCTGCTTGTAAAGAATTCATTAGCTGTTGGATTTCTACCTCACTGAAATCAGATATACCACTCAAATCTAATACATTTGTGAACTTTTCTGCACACTAAAAGCAGTTAAGATATATAAAGAGCCCTATTATTAAACAGATTAAAAACAGATTTACAACTCACAGGCAACCCATTATCTAATATGTTTTTAGCTCACTGAGAACAGATTTACTACCCAGAAACAACCCATTATCTAACATATTTCCAGTTCACTGGAAACAGATTTACAACCCATACGCAAGCTATTATCTAACGTAGTTCCGACTCACTGAATATTGATTTAGAATTCATAAACAACCCATTATCTGACAAATTTTCACCTCACTGAACAGATTTGCAACTCATAAACAACACATTAGCTAACACATTTTTGGCTCAGGGAAAGCAGACTTACAGCATACAAACGCCTTTATCTAACTTGTTCCAGTTCACTGAAAACAGATTCAAAACTCGCCAAGAACCTGGTACCTGGTAGGGTTCTGTTTTC